CCCCAAAACCCCAAAACCCCAAAACCCCAAAACCCCAAAACCCCAGTTATATTTCATGAGATTGATGCACCAATTAAAAAAATAAATCAGATTACTGCTTTAAGATTGCAATCTTGGAGATTTTGATTTGGGCTGGATTCATCTTGATACTTTTCTTTACATATCCGCTAATCTGCCCTATCTGGGGAAGGTGCTGAGCGTTGGTGATTTCATAGAGATTTATGGAGCTTCTCTGGTTGATTCTTTCCTCTAAATATTTATGCTAGTGATGTACCTAGGGGTACTCATTTTTCTAACAGCAGAGATAAATTTTCTTTGTCATCCAAGTTGAAAGAGACAGCCTGAAAGTATCTCCTCAAAAGTTCATGAAGGTGAATTCTTTTGGTTCTTTCCTTTGTGAGTAATTTATGAATCAAGCTAAATTGGATAAGGTAGAAATTATGGATTGCTCAAATAATATGAATTACCTTTTAATTGACCCTGTTAAAAACTCATTTCTCATTTTCCTTGTTTCCTTGCTAAGGATTGCTTTATACAGTTTTGGGATACTTTCTTCTTTGAAAGGTAATTCTAGATTGGCAAGCTGATACAAGACTACTCCAAATGACCATAGATCAGCTCTTTGATCGTATTTTGTTTTATTTGATAATCTCAGGAGGAGTGGTCTGAGGTGTACCAAATCAGAAGGTAGCCTTCGTAGATTTATTAATCCCTAGAATTTATTATAAATCTATGTACCTAGATGTCTACACTCGCTAAAGTCTCCAATCTTGTACTCTCCTTTAGAAGTCATAAAGATATTTTTATTCTTGATATCTCTGTGTATGATTCCATGAGAATGCAACGCCAGCAGACCGAGTAAGGTTTGCTTAGCAAATTCCATTATTTCATTATTCGTTAGATATTCCTTATGATTCTTGATACAAAGCAACTTTGTGAGATCTCCTCTGTCACAGTACTCCATAACAATATAGAGATATCTAAACTGTAATTAGAGTTGCTTACTTTTTGGTTCTGAAGCAGGTATAGTATCTGACAACATTTCGGTGGTTAATTCTTTTCATCATCTCCACTTCCTTCATGTAATTCTTAACATATGTTTTATTTCTGTTACGGCGGAGTTTTATTTTATTTAATAGCTACTAATCTTTGTACACGAGACTTATTCCCTATAGTTATAAACCTAGCTATACTTGTTCTCCTGATTTGTGACCGGGTTTTCTTCCTAGCACAGGAAAAGGAGGATTTACTTGTGATTACTATCTTATTCTTGCAGTGATTTACAAGTTCACGACATTTGTACACTTTTCCAAACCGTCCTTTGCCTATTCATTGAATAAATTTGTATTCTTTGAGTTTATTTTTCGTTAATGGGAGGCAAAGGAATAAGAGGCTGAACCTTTCTTTTCTTCTTCCTCTTTTTGTTGACAACTGAAATATTTGAAGTTGCTCCTGTGGTTTGTTTGGACACAGTCTTGCCTTCGCTTAGCAATCAGTTCTTGCCAGGCTTAGCCACACTTTTATTGAGCTTTGACGAAAGCAGGTTTGAACTACGGTTTATATAAGGCTGTTCTCGAGGAGTTATATTTTGATTAAATGAGATATAATTCGATGGTGAATCAGGTTCTGATAGCAGCTGCTCATCAGATGATTCGTTATCTTCATATAACTCAACCGTTTGGTCGTAATTGTATTTTTCCTCTTCAAAGTATCCCTCACTTTCTGAGGAGGATTCGTTTTCTGGGTCTATCATGGGAGATTTCTCATTCTCACGATGTTCTTTGACCTTCTCTCAACTTTTAAATACGGTTCTACCTCTCCTCCTATTTCTTGAAGGTGGCTCCATTATGATTTTATTCAATTATATTCATCAGGCTTGGGGTTTTGGGGTTTTGGGGTTTTGGGGTTTTGGGG